ACAAACACGATACATCCCGCACGTGGTTCAGACAGGCGTAATTGTACTGTTTATTCCCCTACAAACACGATACATCCCGCACGTGGTTCAGACAGGCGTAATTTAACAGTTCCTACATGTGCTGGGGTACCCCTTGCAGTTTCAGGCTGCGGTGTGTACCGACGTGCCCTTTCCACGCCTCCGGCGTTGTGATTTGCCCCTCCGGACGGATCCACAGTTTGCAATTTCCGCACCACCGCTGGGGATTGGCTCCAGGGACACTCGTGTGGGTGCCGGTTCTCCGTTGAGTGTGGTCCAGCCTGCGGGGAGCGTGGGATCAGTGCCGGCGACCTTTCCTGTGGAGAGGCCGGTTTCCCTCCGTAGATCGTCCTTCTGCAAGTTTCTTTAGCCACTCACGTTTCTCCGGGGACGTTCTCCAAGCGGATTTCTTGCTGCGCCCACCAATACAGGAAACCGTATCGCAGCCTCTCAGCCTACCTCTGCAGGGTCAGCTCGCGTCTCACGTGTGTCCACAGCTGGCTTCTTCGAGGCCCCGGGTCTGCGTGTCACGGAGTGTGGGCTTGGCGTTGGGCGGAGAAGCAGCACGCCGGATTAGGTGTATTTCCAGGATGGGCCAAGGAGTGGAACAGGTCTGTCCCCGATGATTTTCCCGATTGGCTTCGGAGCGCGTCTGTCGCATTGTTCCTTGCGCAGAACCTGGCGACGGAGCTGGACCGATCTAATGTCCTAGGGTCCTGCCCCATGTCTTTTCTTTTCTGGTGGGTCGCAGAATTTGGTGCGGGCGCCGTCACCAGCCGTTCCCCGCACAAAGAGATTCAGTGGCTCCTGGCCAAATCTTTCTGTTTTCAGCAGCATTTCCTGAACAGGTCTGGCGCAGCCAAATCCTGCGCCGCGAATACTCAGAAGTGTCGCGAACCGCTTCGTTTTCAGCCGCGGGGCGGCGCTGCTTTCCCGCCGGTGGGGCTCCGTAGTTGCAAGCATTTGGGGACCAAGCCCAAGGCTGAAGGATTTTCTGGTTTGGGCACGTAGATTACAGGAGAGAGCCTGTCTGCTGAGCGCTGCCAGTTCCTGGCAGACCTAGAATTCCTTTGCTTTTCTCGCCATGCTTGGGAGCGCTCCGGAGCCGTACAGCCCTGCCCGGATATACAATATGTGCAGATATCCACATCCGCAGATGTGGATATTTGCGAATTTGCAGGGCTCGACCTGATCGAATCCTTCAAGTCGGAGCTGGTTCCTTTCTGCTAAGCGCAGAGATCCCCACTGGGCAGAATTTGCACGGTCACATCGGTGAAAGACCAGGACGTGTTCTTCTGACGGCCTCTAGGCCCCAAATTCCATCCCGTTGAGTGCTGGTGAAGAGTAGGACCCGTGCCAGGACCGGGACAGCGGCCCGCATGGATGCCATCTGCTCCCAGAAACTTGCTGGTGACAGGACAGACGCTAGGTGGCCGTAATCTCCTGCGGCTTTTGCAAAATCCAAGGGCTTCGCTTTGCGGCGCTTGGCACGGCTCAGAAGCTGCGGGGATAACGCTTGCCACGTGGCCTGCGGGGCGGCCTCGTGTGACGAGTGGCTTTATGCATCACTTTCACCAGTAACTGCCCGCGCTCGTTCCTCTCCCTAAAATGCCACTCTCACTTTTAGGAAGCTTGCCGCCATGCGTAGGCCTCCTGGGCGTGGAATCCGGATGGCCTCATCTTTTCGTTCCATCCGAGCCGTCGAGACGGTGTTGAAGCGGACGTGCGAGGCTTTTCACCGCAGAATTCCGCGCCGCCCTTTCACGAGCCGGGGCCTGAACGCCAGGCACGGAGCTGAAGCTCGATCATCACACACTCCTACAACGTTATCTTCCCTCACCTTCTCCCAGGACAGTCACAGAAACATGTATACACTCTTTGGCCCGCCGGCTAGTCCCTGCTTCCTCGCTGATGTGTCGCCCAAGACTATCCGAGCATCAATTCATCTCCTGGCTCTGGCTCGTTGATAAATTTCCTTCCCTGGCACGAGCGAGATGAGCTTTTATTGGCCCAACTTCTGCTGGGGAGAGAGACGAGCATTTGAGCTTACAAAATGAAGACAATCCCATTCTGCTAGCGCTGCACGGCTGGTCCCCAGCGGCCCTGTCCCAGAGGTGGCTGCATCTCAGTGCCAGGCGAGCCATCCCTGTGTGGTGTTATGTGCAGCTGTTCCCCAGCCGCCCCACCCCAGAGGTGGCTGCATCTCAGCGCCGGACGAGCCGTCCCACTCCCAGATACCCCTTTGCGTAACCGCAGCCTGGGAGCAGAACAGGCCGGGAAAAGGTCAGAAATTTAACTCCCCTGGGTCCTGCTGCCGATTCAAATGGACCAAGATCCGGTGTCTTCTGGGGATGAACGGCTACCCCCAGGCCAGAGAGTGGGGTCTAGTGGTTAGAGCAGGGGGGCTGGGAGCCAGGACTCCTGGGTTCTCTCCCTGGCTCTGGGAGAGGAGTGGGGTCTAGTGGGGGGGGGTGCTGGGAACCAGGACGCCTGGGTTCTCTATTCCAGCCCAGCCAGGTACTGTTTGGAGCATGCTCCTTCTCTCATTCTTTTCCTAACTGTTTTGTTCCCTTCCTTCCTTCCAGGTAATTGCCATGGCCTGTCGGGAGGTGGAGATGGGGAAGGTGAGTGTGGGGGCCAATCCGTGCCCACCCCCATCCCCTGGCTGTGGGGGGGGAGTCTGGGGGGCGACCCCCATGGACTCTCCGTGAACTGACTTTCCCTCCTTAGAAAAAGTGTGAACGCTACTGGCCGCTGAAGCAAGAACCGCTGCAGATCGGGCCCTTCTCCATCATACAGGTACCAGGGAGGGGTTACAGGGGCAGCCTGGGGGGCTCTCCAGGAGAGAGACACAGCTCCTCTTCACTTCCTGTCCCAAACTGCTGCTGGGCAACTCCATCCTGCCCCAGAGGTGGTTGCATCTCAGCTCTGGGCAAGCCCTACCTGTGTGGCTGTTCCCCAGCTGCCCCACCCCAGAGGTGGCTGCATCTCTGCTCCAGCTGATCCGTCCCTGTGCAGCGGTTATATGCAGCTATTCCTCAGCTGTTCCTCACCTCACCCAGAGGTGGCTGCAGCGGTGCCTCTGTATGGAGACACTAAAGGCACTTCGTAACCCTGCAATGTCGGCACCCCCTGAAACCTCTGTCTGCAGCTCAGCTTGTCTCTGTCTCTCAGATCAAGGAGCAGGAGCTGAATCCGGACGTGATAGTCCGCACGCTGAGCGTCAGCTTCCAGAACGTCAGTGAGCTGCGGGGGCGCCGTGCTGCGGGGTGGGGGGCTGGGCAGGGGGCACTCTCCCCTGGCAGGGGGGGGGGCGGGGGGGGGCGCCGTGCTGTGGGGAGCAGGGCGGGGGGCTGGGCAGGGGGCGCTCTCCCCTGGCAGGACCGGGTGCTGGGGGTGCCGTGTCATGGGGAACAGGGCTGATGCCAGCCGTTCCCTCCCCAGGAGGAGCGCCCCCTCACCCATTTCCAGTACGTGGCCTGGCCGGACCGCGGGATCCCGGACAATTACAGCCATTTCCTGGAGATGATCGAGCACGTGCGATTGAAACAGGGGGACGACTCAGCCCCCATCTGCGTGCACTGCAGGTAGGGGGCGCTGTGCTTTGGGGGGGGGTGGAGGGCTCAGCAGCGGATGAGTGGAGGGCGGGCCCAGTGGGGCCCCATTAGCCCCTCACCCGGGATGGAGAGAGACCGTGGTCTTCATAGCCAGGGGTCTGCTAGAAAAAATTAAGCCCCGCCCTCAAATAAACCCCTCCCACAATCCAAAACCCATCCTCTGACTGCCTCCCCCTGCCATGAGCTCCGCCCCTTTTCTGCAACCTCAGAAGTGGTGCAGAGCAGTCGTTGAATGGCCAGCGGTAGGGTTCAGAGTGAACGCACAGAGATGGGCAGAGTCCCACTCGAACAACGATCATTAGCATCCAGAGTTAACACTGATGTCAAAATGAATCAAGTCACGATTTAACACCAAACATTAGGGTTCCGAGTTAACAGTCACGGTTCGACATGCCACACCCTCATTTAAACCTCAAGTGTTAGGATCCAGCGTGAACAGCCATGTCAAGGTGTCCCTATTTCAACCCCAGTTGTTATATTTCAGAAGTCATGGTCATACTGAAATGAGCTATGTCCCCATTTGAAATACAATCATTAGGCTTCAGAGTTAGCGGACTTGTTGAGATGAGCTATAGCCCCTTTTAAAAACATAATTATTGGGGTTCACCGCTAACAGCCATGCTGAGACAAACCATGACCTTAGTGAAACGCCAGTCATTAGGCTTCAGAGTGAACAATCCAGCCATCTGGGTGGATGATGTCTGCTGAAACCCATCATTAAAGTCCAGGGCAAATACCCAGTGTGATGACACCCCGTTGTTCACCCAGGCCTTACGGTTTGGGGTAAACATCCCACTGTCGACACCCAGGATGCCCCATTTAACCGTCTGTCAGAGTTCAGAGTGAACGCCTACCACAGATGGTCATTAGGTTTCAGAGTGAACGTGCACCGGCGATGCATGAAGGTTGTAGCCGTAGCCATTAGGGTTCAGAGTGAACGTACCCCAGCGGTTCCGCATCATCGCTCCATTCATTAGGGCTCAGAGTTAACACCCACCAGAGACGCGTGAAGGTTGAAACTGTAGTCATTAGGTTTCAGAGTGAACCCCACAGGCAGTGTGTGGGGTGAAGGGCCCCTTTGCCCCCGAGAGGGATTTGATTTGAGGCGGTGGTAGCGGATTCTTCTTCACCCATTTCCTTCCTGCTTCCTCCTCCCCGACAGCGCTGGCTGTGGCCGGACCGGCGTGATCTGCATCCTGGAGCACGTGAGACACCTTCTCCTCCAACAGGTACCGCGCGTGTCCGTGTGCGCAGGCGTGCGTCCGACCTGCGGCTGCCCCCTGCCGGACTCGCGAGCCTTCTCCTGTTTTTCAGAGCATCCCCCCGAATTTCAGCATTTTCGACATCGTCCTAGCGATGAGAAAGCAGAGACCATCGGCTGTCCAGACGCTGGTAAGCCCCCCGGTTCTCCCCCTGCCGGACACCCACACCGCGCCCCCTGCTGGGAGAGGTGGGGCTGGGGCCGCTGGGAGCCCCCACTCCCCTAACACGGCCGTGTCCCCTGTCTGGCAGGAGCAGTACGAGTTCCTGTTCCACGCCGTGGCCGAGATGTTCCGCTCCGCCCTGGCCACCGCCAAGTACGAGAACCTCAAGGAGGTGAGAGGGCCCCGGGGCAGGGACACACACACAGCGCAGGGCCCAGCCCCTCCAGCGGGGGGCGCAGGGACCCACACGG